ACACGATTCCCATGTGAAATTGACATAAAAATATTTTCAACACAGAACATAAATGAAATTAACAGTGATAGCCCCCTGTAAACCAAAATTACAGTTTCCACACTGTTTCAAGTAACCCCCTTTTACGACATCCTCAAAACAGCTCCTACACCAATGTTTCGAGATTCAATCGTCCGCCATCGATGATAAAGTCCAAAGAAACTCACCTTGAACCGGAAAAGTTGGGGCCTCACAATGAAATAAGTGTCATGTTTCACTTGGCTGTTGGGCTTTGGCCATACCTCCCCCTTGGTAGCCTTATACTGCGGACCCGGGTCTACAATATACTCCTCACCGAATGCGAATAGGCTCAACTGCCACAAAACGAACGCTGCAAACTTCATGTCGAGCTCGGATCGATCGAACTGGATGTGCGTTCGACAAGAAGTTGTTTTGTTTATACATCGATTGTTTTCATAAGATTGCGCTCGAGTGTTGCTGTGATAATGTATCTCGTTCGGTTTTATCTTGAACAATTCGGAGAAGAATATTATTAGAATATTAGATGTTTTTAAATTACTTTGTTCATCTCTTTTCCAACGAAGAAGCCTGTGGTGATGATGGCTCCTTTTAAGATGACGCCATCTATGGGATCTTGTGTTCCTCGTCGGACAGTGCATTTTCAGCTACTGCAGACTTCTCGGTCTGCAGTCCAATGGGCACTTCCATTTGTGCTCGATTAGGCGGGTATAGTCGAAGTAGTCGATATTGTGCATACTTAAAGTTGTCGGCACTCTCAAAGGCCAAAAAAACCAATACATAAAAATGAACCGGCAGCGAAGTAGTCCACGTGGACCGTAGACTTGGCGGTTCGTATTGGATAATTTTTACTCACCGAGTTTTATGATTGGCTGAAGAGTCATAAAATTAAATTTGAAGTCATGTTACGGTGACGAATAGAAATCGGGGAATGTTATCGCCGTCATGTTCAGTTCAGGAGTTGATCACGATTTGAGTGTTGAAATTCGATATTGGTGCAGTTATAATTACTTAAAATTTTTGTTATCAGTTCAAAAAGTGGCGTCCTTGGACAAGTACTAATAACGAGTGTGATAACAACGCAGACTTTT